TGCTGCATTTGGGATTAAGTTTCAAACACACGGTCTTAAGAGGGGACAAACATTCAAACCGTAATAACTAGTGTCCTCAGGTATACAAACAATTCATAGTCCCTGTCTTAGGCAGATCTGTCATCGCAAAAAAAGAAAAACCCAACACTTCTGTTATACGTTTTCTCATTCTCCTTTCTGCAACTCCAGCCTCAGACAATCCTTTCTTCCTTGGAACACCCAAAATAATCCTTCTCTCATGACACACTGTGCTCTGTATCACAATTCTGACTGATCAACACACTACATGCTGTCTTTCCATCCAATTTATCCGGCTATGTTTAATTCAGTTCCATGTACATAATAGACACTCAATAAACATTTCTGGAATTGAGAGAACACTAACCTCTGCATTATCAGCATACTAAACCCAGCCCATATCAGGCTCTAAGGGCTATATTTTGGCCCAAAATTTAGCCAAGCTGATGTAATAATGCCCCATATCATGAGTAGGTTCTGTATACTTGTATCAACTCACAAATGCGCACAATTCACTGCCTCAACCTCTTTCTATATAGTGTTGAAGAATTCGTGAGAGCAAGAGGTTCTCAAAGGTCTCGTTCACACCTGATTTTTTGTCCCTTTGCACAAGACCTGTGGGTACACTATCATCTCTGACTGGTAGTAGTTTAAATTTACCCAATGGTATTTAAATTTATCTGATAGCATTTTAAATTGATCTAATTTATTTAATTTACTTAATCTAATTTAATTAAACATCATCTCTACCTGATGTTATTTGATTTCACCTAATGGTATTTTAAATTTATCTCAGTCTGGAAGTTAATCAGAATCAATGAAATTGGTTTAGGGCAGTGTTTCTCAAAGTGTGGTTCCCTGGACCAGCAACAGCATCAGGATACTTGGGAGAAATGCAAATTCTCAGACTCAAAGCTACCTACTAAATTGGAAATGGAGGGAGTGCTTGACCAGCTTTCGTTTTCACAAACCCTGCAGGTGAGTCAGATGCATGCTAATGTTTGAGAACCACTGGTGAAGGGATTGACTGAAATTGTTTCTGGACAAATAAACTGGTAACACAGATGGGAGATAAGAAATTTTTTGATGAAAATGAACTATCGCTGGGTTATGGTTTGCATAGATTTGCAGGAGACCAGCCGAGATAGCAGATGAATGTAATGGCTGAGACCCAATTCTATGATTGGCCAAGGTACAAGATATGCATCTGTTTACTCTGGAACTAAGGAGATAGGGAATGTGTCATAATGTGACACTGTCAGCATACAGAGTTATTTTTAGAGCTGGGTATTTGCTTCACAAGTAGAAGAAAAGGATTGAGAATACACTCAGAAGAATGCAGTATATAAATGTCTTAGAATTGTGGGTTTTCCCTTCACAATGGGAAATTCAGAAATAAAAAGAATTGCACAGTACCTCACACTACTGTGGAGACAGCCAGCCTCACTGGCAGGTATTCAAGCATGTTAATCGGTGCTTAGGTGGCTCAGGAGCCTCACCTGATCCGAGATGGCCGCTGGTGGCACATGTGCAATAGGATTATTTAATTAACCTCTACAACACCAAAGGGCCAAGACACCCCAGAGCCACTTTTTTGCTGCATAACTACTTCTTATCTTCATTAAGTCTAGTGACAGCTTTCCTAACAGTGGGAAATCATGCCTTAGCCTATGCTTGACTACTCGCTAAGCCAAGTTAAGCAAAATCTGTGGCTTTCCAAAAAATATGCAGTAGGGACAGGTAAAAGTTTAAAAATTCATTCTATACAGAGTGCTATTGGCTAAGCTCCTTAAGGATTTTTAGCGATTTCTTGGAGAATCAAATTGGCTGCGGAGATTTAGCTATCTATTTTAGAGATGTGTAGGAGACATTCTGCAAGAAAGAGTAAGCATAAGAAGATGCAAGGAACTTCCAGGCAGACAAGAATTTTGCACCTACATTTTTAAAAATCAAGGTGTAAGTGAGTATGGTCAGGTCTACAGTTGGAGGTCAAAGTAGAGTTAAAATCAGAAGTAGCTAACTTTAAATTTATCACAGTCTAGAAGTTAAGCAGAATCAATAAAATTGGTTTAAGGCAGTGCTTCTCAAAGTGTTGAGAACAGGCCGGGTGCAGTGGCTCATGCTTGTAATCCAAACAGTTTAGGAGGCCAAGGTGGGAAGATCATTTGAGGCTAGGAGTTCAAGACCAGCCTGGGCAACATAGAAAAACCATGTCTCTACAAAAAATGAATAAATAAATAAATTTAATTAGCCAGGCATTGTGGCATACCCCCGTAGTTCCAGCTACTCGGAAGACTGAGGCAGCAAGATCACTTGAGCTCAGCAGTTCAGGGTTATAGTGAGTTATGATCAAACCACTGCACTCCAGCCTGGGCAAGAGAGGGAGACTCTGTCTCTAAAATAAAGAAGAAAACGTAGCTATGTAAAATTATGAGTTATAAAGCATTGTAGAGAAAACTCTCGATGACTCTCAGAAAATTATTAAATACATTACATTCTGCATCCAATGTAGATTCTATCTGCCACCAGATACTCTTAAGAGTGACATTCACTGACAAGTAGCTTGACATAACTTTGGATCCTAGGGTCCCAGTAATTTTAGGAATAATTGATTTTTTTTTTTTAATGAAAAGAGGAAGAATTGATTTTATAATGTTCTCCTCCCTTCCTCTTTCCCAGTTCCACCTCAATTAAAATCTAAAACACAAGAACAAATACATTTTCAGAAGGGGAAGAATCTCTTATCCTTGACAAAGCTACAGAAGAGCTATCAGTACAGTTAAGAACAGTGTGAAATCCTGCCTCAGGTTCTCTGCCACCCCTTCTCACCTTGTAAATTCACAGTGATTTATCCAGTACACAAATATTCAGCCTCTCACAAGTGCTAGATAAATGCTGTGCTGTTAACTGGGGATACATTTAAGAAGTTTGCAATCCAATGTAGTCAACCAAACTTTCCTAAGAATCGCCTGAGGCACTTGTTAAAATACCAATATCCAGGCCCCATGCCAAACTTTCTTAATCAGAATCTCTGTAAATGGAACCTTAGAATCTGTGGACCTCAGAGGCCACTGTAAGTATTAAAGCCCACTGATTTGTATTAATGGGGAAAGCTTAGCCCCTGCAAATTAAAATGGCTTTGTCCTCAGCCAAGAGGCTACTTCCATGGATAGTAAGCTACATATATGGTGGTTTCAAGCAAATGCACCCACCACTTTGGCCTTGCGCAAAGACATGCAGTTTCGGCAAAAGCGAAAACAAACCACTAGAGAAAGGTACAGACCACTTGGCCTTCAGCTGTGACTCATGGACATGAGGGAGGTGTCATCAGAAGGGGCACAGTTTGCTGCAATTGTACTTAATGTGTGTGTTTGGGTAAGTTGGAAGTTCCCATGACTCAGCAGATTATTAAACTGGAGGCAGTAATTCAGTAATTTGGACGCCTTAATTTAAGAATATTCAACTCAAGGGCAAAATATATTTAGATCTAATTTTATATCTTTTGGACTTTAACATATCTGGGCTTGAAGTTTTAAGAGTTAATTATTGAATTTTAATCTCTCCCTGGGAATTTGATAATGGGAGAGATTTTACATCAAACTTTGGCATATCTCTATGTTGTTGGCATTTTATTATTAGATTTTGGCATCTCCTTGCAGATTGTCCAATATGTTATGTTGGACAACAGGGCTAGAAGGAAAAGGGGTGCAATTTCTTGGCTCCTCTGTGTCCCCAACAGCCTTGTGGTATAACAAAAGAAACCTGCTAAAGCTTAATCAAGTGATTGTTCTGACTGGGTCCCCTGCAAGTTAAATGACTCTGGCCTAAATGGCACTGGCAGGGGGCTGGGATGAGAAAATTTAGTAATGCAGTGGTTTTGCAAAACCAAATAGATTTATATCTGGGTCTTAAAAGACACAGCCCAGGCCAGGCACGGTGGCTCACGCCTGTAATCCCAGCACTTTGGGAGGCCGAGGCAGGTGGATCATGAAGTCAAGAGACCAAGATCATCCTGGCCAACATAGTGAAACACCCTCTGCTAAAAATACAAAAATTAGCTGGGCGTGGCGGTGCACACCTGTAGTCCCAGCTACTCAGGAGGCTGAGGCTGAGGCAGGAGAATCACTTGAACCCGGGAGGCAGAGGTTGCAGTAAGCCAAGATCGCGCCACTGCACTCTAGCCTGGCAACAGAGTGAGACTCTGTCTCAAAAAAAAAAAAAGAAAAGAAAAGAAAAGCAATAATATATAGCCTTTGGGAAGCCATGTTTCAAAGATTCACTGACTCCTGTTGTCAGAGTAAGACCCAAGAATGGGATTGGGAGCCAGAGAGTCCAATCAATGGTTTTAAATGAAAGGTTCTTAAAATATAAAATGCAGAGCAACAAATCAGTACCACCTAGGTAGTTGTTACTCATTTCTATGTCTAGTCAAGTTGTTGGTAGGATGTCAGAAAAACTCTGTCAGCATGGTGATCCAAAGGTGCAGGGCTAGAGGTCACACTGCAGTATGAACGTGTCCTAAGGCTATAATCTATTGTTCAAACTACTTGAGTTAACCTCAAGGGTCGGCACACAAACTCAGGCTTTCATGGTAACCTCAAGGATACAAGCAATCAAGATGCAGAACAAAGCAGGTAAGGGTGAGATACCCTGTGTAACTGTTCAGGCTCTTCCTCCCCACATTAAACACACACTCTGGCCCAGAGGAATAACACATGGTGCCTCTAAATGAGGTTCTTGTATCACATCACACTTGGGGGACTGTTTAGGTTTTGAAAGTTGTAGAGTTAACATAATCCCCTTTGAGAATCATGCCTCATAAATGTATAGAGTCTAGGTTTGTTGACCATAAGTAATCCTAAGCCAGGGATCTCCAAATAAGAACACCCCTTCTTTAAAGACTCTCCTATCCCAAATATCATTAGCCTACCAGGAGGTCCAGTTATCATCAGCATGTTTACAAGGAGATTAAGCCAGGTTACCTGATTTCTTTTCTGGAAGCATTCCCCCAGGAATCAGGAAAGATGTGGCTCACAGGCTAGCTGCCTTATCTCCTTCCTCTCCACCAAGACACTTCTGAGACAGAAAAGAAAGATACTATTAACAATTATGCCAGCCAGGCATGGTGGCTCACACCTGTAATGCCAGCACTTTAGAAGGCCAAGGTGGGCAAATCACTTGAGCTCTGGAGTTCCAGACCAGTCTGGGCAACATGACAAAACCCCACCTCTAAGAAAAACCCAAAACATTAGCTGGGTGTGGTGGCATACTCCTGTAGTTCCAGCTACTCGGGAGGCTAAAGTGGGAGAATCACCTGAGCCCAGGAGGTCAAGGCTGGAGTGAGCTGTGATCACACCACTGCACTGCAGCCCAAATGATAGAGTGAGACCCTGTCTCAAAAACAAACAAACAAAAAATTATGCCAAGGCAACAGTTGAAAATTCAGACTAGCCCAGATAAACCTGGATAGATGGCCACTGTCTTAGTTCATTACAGCTGCTATAACAGAGTACCATAGACGGGTGGCTTACAAACAACAGAAATTGTTTCTCACAGTTCTGAAAGCTGGAGGTCCAAGATCAAGCCCCAGTAGATTTGGTGTCTGGTGAGGGCCCGCTTCTACGTTCAAAGACCAGCACTTTCTCACTGGGTCCTCACATGAAGAAAAAATGAAAGCAGCTCTCTGGGATCTCCTTTAAAAAAGCACTAATCGCCAGGTGCTGTGGAGCATGCCTGTAGTCCCAGCTTCTCCCGAGGCTGAGATGGGAGGATTGCTTGAGCCCAGGAGTTCTGGGCTGTAGTGCGCTATGCTGATCGTGGGTCTGCACTAAGTTTGGCATCAATATAGTGACCTACTGGGAGTGGGGGGCCACCAGGTTGCTGAAGGAGGGGTGAACCGGCCCAGGTAGGAAACAGAACAGGTCAAAACTCCTGTGCTGATCAGTAATGGCACTGCGCCTGTGAATAGCCACTGCCCTCCAACCTGGGCAATACAGCAAGACACTGTCTTTAAAAAAATAAAAAAAAACCCATCTCTACTAAAACGTAGTGGCAGGTGCCTGTAATCCCAGGTACTCAGGAGGCTGAGACAGGAGAATCCCTTGAACCCAGTAGGTGGAGGTTGCAGTGAGCCAATATCACACCACTGCACTCCTGCTGGGCAACAGAGTCAGACTCCATCTCAAAAAAAAAAAAAAAAAAAAAAGAGCACTAATCCCATTCATGAGGACACCACCTTCATGACCTAATCACTTCCCAAAGGCACCACATCATAATACCATCACCCCCAACATAAGGTTTCAACATATGAGCTTGGGAGGGGACACAAACATTCAGACCCTGGCAGTCACCCTATCTATGGCACCCAGCACTGGAAGTCTGTGGGTAGCAGAGGAGAAATAAGGCTTGAAATGTAGGGAATCAGAAGGTAGTCTGTGAAAAATTATTTTCATCTTCAAACATCTAAAAGTGTAACTGGAGGATTACAATTGTAACTGGAAATTATTTTAATCTTCAGACATGTAAAATTGTAACTAGAGGATTCTCGTTGAAGCCTAGTCAAAACAAAAGTTCTTTTTTTGGCAGAAATATACTCAATAATGCATGACATATAATTATAAATGCACTCGACATTTTTTTCTTTTTTGATAAGAATTGCACAAAATAGAATTTATCATAACTCCTTTATCATAGGCCAGACTTCTATAGTTGTACTAAATGAGTTTGTCTGTGTGTGACATCACATGATTTATGCACTCCAAGCTCTAATAAAAAAAAAAAAAAACTTTGATCAGTCATGCCAGAGGAAGGACTAAATTATCTTTCTATTCTCACTGTAGAAATTGATATTACAAATTCATTGTCATGTAAAGAGGTAATCAAAGCATAGGCTGCCCCTAAGAAGAGTAGAAAAAATATATAAATATATCCCAGAAAATACATTAATAAAAATATTACGTTGCTTTCTGAATTTTGCGACTTCTGTGATATTTCTCAGCTTTTTGAGCTTGCGATGTCTGTGATATTTCTCAGCTTTTTGAACAGCCACCTGGTAAGGTAGGAAAAACAAAAGCAGCTGGAAAGTCGGACAGACTTGGTTTGAATCTTGGTCTTCCTGAGGGACTGTGTTAAAGGAAAAATCCTGTCTTCCCGGGTCCACAAGGGGCGTGGTTTCAAAGGCAAGAACTTCCCAGCGCCATGCCTCTATCCACCTCCCCATCCTGGAACCTAGAGTTCTTTGTCTAACTTTGCCCCGCGCAGCTAGGTAAAATGTCAAGCTGCCCCTTTGTTTAAAGAAACGCCGCCAACAGCTCTGGGAGGAAGGGCCTCTGTTCTGGGCAGGACAGCCAATCCAGCATCAGAGTCGCTCCAGAGGCAGTTTAAAAGAACTCCTCTCATTGGACAAGAACATAAATGAGGCGGGAATAACTTCAAAGTCAAAACTCCACTGCCCCTTAGCTGCCCAGATTTCCCTTTGGGATCCCCTCTCACAACAACCTGGGAGCTATCTTTCCCTCTCTACCTGTGCGGATATCCCCTTCGGATTCCCCTCTCACAGGAGTGTGAGAGCTTTCTCTCTCTCTGCCTAATAAATCTTTTTTTGCTAAACTCTTTGGGTCCGATATTTACTTGAACCGTAAGCTCACCACGCCGCCAGGGCCCCCTTCCCCATTCCTGGGGCAAGGGAGGCCAAGAACCTCAGGGCACATCCCATTGTGGAGGGAGCTGAGCCCCGTCCAGTCCTGCAACCCAGTTACACTCGCATTTACTAACCGTGCGACTTTGAAGAACTCCCTCTACCTCTTGGTACCTTGGCTCCCCAATCTGTAAAATGGAGAAAATAAGAGTAGCCTACATCATAGTGACATCATGAGGGTTAAATAAGCGAACACATTAATTGCTTAGTGTGGCCTGGTACAGAGTAAGGGCTCAATTAATGTTAACAATTAGGTGGGGAAGAGACCTCTCTTAACCTCCATTTCCACCCTTACAAAATGAGGAAAATGATACCCATTTTACAGAAATGCAAAGGTCGAGTCCCTGGGATGGAGTGAGTATCAATAAATGAGAATGGCCAGGCACAGTGGCTCACACCTAGAATCCCAGCATTTGGGGAGGCCAAGAAGGGTGGATTACTGGAGGTCAGGAGTTTGAGACTAACATGGCTAACATGGTAAAACCCTGTCTTTACTAAAAATACAAAAATTAGCTGAGCATGATGTGCGTCTATAATCCCAGCTACTCAGGAGGCTGAGGCACGAGAATCGCTTGAAGGCAGAGGTTGCAGTGAGCCCAGATTATATCACTGCACTCCAACCTCAGCGATACAGCAGGGTCTGTCTCAAAAAAATAAATTTAAAAAAAAAAAAAAAAAACAGGCCGAGCATAGTGACTCATGCCTGTAATCCCAGCACTTTGGGAGTACAAGATGGGTAGATTACAAGGTCAGGAGTTCAAGACCAGCCTGGCCGAGATAATGAAACCCTGTCTCTAAAGAAAAAAAAAACAAATACACAAGAATGACTGTTCTGGTCTTCAAATAACAGGTTCCAGTGAGCCAGTGAGTCTCTCCTCTCAGCTTCCTCTGTGAAGGATCCCACCCCACCTGGGCGGTGGTCCCGAAATGCATAACAGCACCCCCTGCTCCCAGCCTCCCTTCCTGTGACCCATCATCCCCTCAGACTCCTAGTGACTCTCTAAAAGTCTTTGGATATCATGGTTACTTTATTCACCTCGTGTTGAATAAAAGCACCTAACTAGCCTTAGGGCAACAGGATTTCTGCCTTTTTACATTTTATTTCTCTCATGGTTTTCCTTTTTTCTTTCAATCTCTTTCAAGTTTGCAATGTTTGGTTTATTATACTAGGTGTGAAAAAAAAAAAGATGAGTTGTTAATTGGAATTCTTGGGATCTTCCCATGCCTAGAATTAAACCATACACTTGGGTCCCAAAAAGAAATGGGTATTGATTCCACTTTAACTGTCAAGGATGTTCTCTGACTTCCAACACGCCCTGCATTCCCTTCCCCAGCAGCCAGAAAACAGCATGTAGGTAATTCGGCCTGACTTACCTAATGGAATGGCTTGACGCCTTCATTTAGAAAGCAAAAGCACTAAACTAACACACTGAAGTGAGGTCATTTCAATGTTGTACTTGGAGGAAACTATGAAAAACTTGATTCTTTCACTGAGCTTCAATCTCTGGTGTCAGTTTAATCCATTCATTGATTTTTATTCATTTACAAACCATTAAGGCCCTGTGGGTTATTCTGATAGGCACTCCTCAGAAACAAGATCAGAGAAGCCAAATTTTACTACCAAGTTTCTGAATTTAGAAGCTTGGTTGCTGAAAAGACACAAGATCCAAAATTAAAGAAGAGGTGGGGAGAGAGGGGAGGGGATGGTGGAGGTGGGACATTGGCTCTGTAACCTGTCGTCATCCTTCTACGTACCTGACAAGAATACTGCCAGCTCTGAACTCATCTTTAGGACTCTTGCCCAGGCAAAGGTTTTTGTTTTCAAATGAAACAGACCCTGATAGAACAACAGCTCTCACAGAAGGAAAGTCACCATTATTATTCCAGGTAATTCCAAGGCATCGTCATATTGAACTGTTTCACCCATACATCCAAGTGAGAAAAGTTCATTGTTTCACCACTCTGCTCAGTCTGGCATATTGAGGGGTTGGGTCTGCTACCATACCACATACAAACAGGCCCTGTGATACCCTCTAGTTCAGGGGCCCCCAACCCCTGGGATGCAGACTGGCACTGGTCTGTGGCTGGTTAGGAACTGCACTGCACAGCAGGAGGTGAGTGGCAGGCCAGTGAGCATTACTGCCTGAGCTCCGGCCTCCTGTCCTATCAGGGGTGGCATTAGATTCTTATAGGAGTGTGAACCCTGTTGTGAACTGTGCCCTCAAGGGTTCTAGGCTGCAGCTTCTCATGAGAATCTAATGCCTGATGATCTGCGGTGGAAGAGTTTCATCCCAAAACCATCCTTCCATGATCTGTAGACAATGTCCCTGGGAACTGCTGCTAGTTGTTCCTGGACTCTGAGCTGAGCCCCTGGCCTCATCTCTGGGCTTGCCTCTCAACTGAGGCTGTTTCTTCCTGACTGTTGACCTCGTTCTCAACTCACATCTGGGTCCTGATGTTCAACAGCCCCACGGGCACTAACATATTCAAGGAAAAGCACCCAAAAGCCTTGTGCTAAAATAGTATTAGAGTTGAATATCATTTTTGTAAAAAAAAAAGTATTAATATGAGTATGTATATATATATATATATATATACACATATATATTTACTGTTTGTATGTCTGTGTGTGTGTGTGTGTGTGTGCGCGCGCATATACTCAAATCTGTGTGTTTGTATATATGTATTCCACTCTCAGGAAAATCCTCAGTAAATGGGCTTCTGTCTATGACTTCCCTGGATCCACAGACTGCATTCCAGAGTTTAAAGCAGGCTTGCGATACCCTTGGGGTGGCAGGACTGTATATATACAACCCTGCAACTGGGTTGTGTATATATGTGTGTGTGTGTGTATATATACACACATATATACATATTTATATATATATACACACACATGCACAAACACAGTATATATATATATATGTATATAGCCCATACATATATATACAGCCAGCATATATACTTTACAGTGTGTGTGTGTGTGTGTATACATAGCCAGTACATATATATAGAGATATATAGATATAGATATAGATACAGCCAACCAGATATATAGGCATAGAGTCTAAATATTAACTAAATCATGTAGTTTAGGTAATTTGTGTATATTTCTTACTTATTTCTGTGTTTTTTTCAGAGTCTATTTCAGGCTGTCACCTCCAGGACATTGCCTATGCTATCAAAGTGATGCAAACTCCTGAATAGACATGGAATCTATTTGTTCCTGCCCAGGCTCTCCTAGATTTCTAGGCCATCTAGGCTCTAAGACACTTCACAAAGCAGGTCTTTTGATTCCAACTGCAACCCCAAGAATAATCCCAAGCCTGCCTAAAACCCCAGAAGATAGTCTGCAGATCCAAATAAGTCATAGACAGAAGCCCATTTGCTACTGATTTTCCTGCGAGAGAAAACTGGGGTCCTTTCTCAATGAATAGAGTGGAGTGCACCATTGCCCATTGCTAGTAAGGAAAGGGTAGGACTAGTTTTAGAATCAAACAGACTCAGGTTAGACTGGGCTCTGCCACTCACTAGCAGTGTGACATTGGGTAAATTAATCTCTCTCGGCCTCCATTTCCTAAGCCATAAAATGGGGAGAAGTCCATCTACTTCATCAGGTTGCTGTGAAGATGAATGAGATGAGATTGCAAAGTGTTCATCGTGGTGCCTGGCTATGCAGGAGCTCGATCAATAGCACTGATCAATACTGAAAACTATGGATAAGATCTGGTCTTTGAGCCATTTTACAGTGAAGCACAGCCTGAGCACTGATCACCCCCTTGCAGAAGGTCAGCTTTCTTTGGTAGGGATTAAAGGGGAGGTGTCACTTACCTTCCTCCTGAGCTATCTATTGGGAAATGCTCCCTGCTCTGGGCCAGGTCAACACTCACTCTGTAGCTGGTCACTGCCTGGTGCTCCTGGACACAGACTCTTCAAATAGGATGCCACTGCTTCTCCAGGGAAAAAGGCAGAAAGGGAAGGAGACAGGGAGCACCCCCTGTGCTGTGCTGCCTCTTCATTCTCTGCTTCACTTGGTATAAGGCTACAGGGGAACATGTGTCACATTTCCCTGGAAGTTTGGAGTAGTTAAAGGGAGTTAATACACTGGAACAGACCCACAGCCATGTACTGGGATGATGTTTCCCATAGCCTAGGGGAAAAGGACCCAGACAGGCAACTCACCTCAACAAGGGGCATATCCCACCTCCTAACTCCACTCTCCTGTCCTGAGGTCTGCCCTTCTCTCAAAAACACACCCTTTGGCCAGGTGCGATGGCTCATGCCTGTAATCCCAGCACTTTGGGAGGCCAAGGCAGGCAGATCACTTGAGGTCAGGAGTTGGAGACTAGTCTGACCAACATGGCCAAACCCCATCTCTACTAAAAACACAAAAATTAGCCAGTCATGGTGGCTGGCACCTGTAACCCCAGCTACTTGGGAGGCTAAGGCATGAAAATAGCTTGAACCACAGAGGCAGAAGTGGCAGTGAGCCCAGATTGCTCCACTGCACTCCAGCCTGGGCAACAGCGTGAGAATATGTCTCAAAACATACAAACAAACATGCGTTTCCTCCTGTTCAAGCTGCTATCAAAAAACAAAACAAAACAAAAACAGAAAAACACAACTTTTCTTGAACTTCTGCAGCACAGACAATGCTATCAAGTCTTGTTTTATTTTCCTCTTCCCAAACACGTAAGAAGACTCCCTTCTCAGCCTTCCAGGTAGGTATTGTGAGGGCCAGGCAATGGGGTTCTGAGCAGTTGGATATGACTGTATGTGATGTCTGCCACTTCCAGGCCTGGTCATAAACCCCCTGCAGGAGAGTATCCGCTCCCTCTCTTCTCTGGCCGCAGTTCCTTGAAGGTGGCACGTTTTAGGAGGCACTGCTACAAGATGGAGAGGTGCTGCCCACTCCACATCAGAGTTTGTGTTGTGAGGAAGGAGTAAACCCTCACAATGCTACACCCCTGAGGTCCCAGGGCTATTTGTGACCACACCATAGCCTTAGTTACCCAGACAAATATCACCTCAGAGTAAGACTCTTCATGAACCCTTCAAGAAACCCTGCCTTCAGGTGTTAGGCTTCTTCCAAAATCTATATTCTTCTTTCTAGCTGTACATTTTACTAAATCTGAATTATTCATCTTAAATAATGCCCCAAAGAGAAAAGTGAGACTTCGGCAGAATAATGAGTGGTGACTTCGGCACTTTAAGCTCCAGCAAGATAGAGAAAAACATTGGCATTCTAGATCCAGACTCTCCATTTTTTTTCTCACTTGCATGGATATGTTCACACATAATGCTCCCAACAGTCCCGCAGGTAAATCCCTCTCTCTCTCTCTCTCTCACACACACACACACACACACACACACACACGGCTAGTGGTCTCAGACCAGGAATCACAAATGCGAACGCATGAAGTGGCCATACAGAAAATGCCAGTAATGAAGTTGACCGTGCACAGTCATGCAAAAGTGGCTGAGCCATACCTTGTCTGAAGGAAACAGCTCTTACCCTGTCTTCCCAGCCATTACCATGCAAGCTGCAGATCAGTGTGGCCAGATCTTCCAATCCTTTAAAAGAAACTAAAATCAGCCAGGCACAGTGGCTTACACCTGTAATCCCAGCACTTTGGGAGGCCAAGGCAGGCAGATCATGAGGTCAAGAGATAGAGACCATCCTGGCCAACATAGTGAAACCCCGTCTCTACTAAAAATACAAAAATTAGCTGGGCATACTGGCATGCGCCTGTAGTCCCAGCTACTTGGGAGGCTGAGGCAGGAGAATTGCTTGAACCCGGGAGGCAGAGGTTGCAGTGAGCTGAGATCGCACCACTGCACTCCAGCCTGGCGCCTGGCGACAGAGTGAGACTCTGTCTCAAAAAAAAAAAAAAAATTAAAATCTAAATGTATATAGAAACTCTCCAAAGTTTTATAATGTGGCAACTATGTAATTCACATTTAAAAAGAAAAAGAAAATAGGCCAGGTACGGTGGCTCACACCTGTAATCCCAGCATTTTGGGAGACTGATGCAGGCAGATCATGAAGTTAGGAGTTCAAGACCAGCCTGACCAACATGGTGAAACCCCATCTCTACTAAAAATACAAAAATTAGCCATGCGTGGTGATGTGCACCTGTAATTCCAGCTACTCAGGAGGCTGAGACAGTAGAATCACTTGAAACCAGGAGGCAGAGGTTGAAGTGACCCGGGATCACCCCATTGCACTCCAGCCTGGGGGACAGAGCAAGACTCTGTCTCAAAAAATAAAATAAGTTTTGCATGCCAAACACAACTGAGCTGCCAGGTGTGCCCATGTTATGTAGGGCTGCCATTTTGCATCATCTTCCTCAACCATGTGTGATTTATTTAGCCCCTGCCCTGGAGTTTGCCAGGCGCCTCTCTCCCAGGGAAATGAATACCTAATTATGCAGGGTAATCCTTTTTCTTCCTCACCTATCCTCCCCATCTGCAAATTCAAATTGCACCCGCATGGCCGCTGGAAATAAGAATCCAACCCATTGATAAGTCATCTATATCTTACATCCTGACTGTGGCTCCCTTAGCTACTCCCAGGCAGCCTCCAGCTTTTAGATTACCATATTCAAAGACTCCATTAAATTCTTAACCAGCACTGCCTTTGCTGCTGCCTCTCTAAGGCAAGAGAGGGGCATTCCTGTGGATGGCCTCACCTCTCTCATCCAAATACTCCTGTGAGCAACAGCCTACAAGTGTGAAATAATGGTCAGGAATTAGAACTGTATTTTCATGCCTACACTACAATTTTTCTGAGAACAAGGCTAGCTAGCTTTTAGAAGGATCAAACAGAATTTGAAAATCACCCTACTTTATGTGCCAAGAGCTTTAAGAATATCAAACATTTCTTACCATTTGCAAGCAAATGGGTCAGAAGATTTTTCCGCGATTATCTCCTCCAGAAAAGAGCAGTTTGAAACCAGAGAAAATGGGTGTTACTAAGAAAAAAAAAAAAAAACTACCTTAAGAGAATAAGAAAGTCAGTCCCTGAGATATCTCAGAAATTGAGATGGAATAACTTTCTTCTACCACACATGTGAGCTCCAAGCCCACGAGAGGCTGCATTTCAAGCAGAAAGCTCTTTTCAAAGCACAAATGTTGGAAAATAGACCAAGACATCAGCGCATTCTAAACACAGCTGTGTTTGTCCACACCTCCTCCTGCCAAACTGTGTTTGATTTAACCTGGCAACCCAGGGGTGAAAGGCGGTTGCATCCAATTATTCAGTCTCTGAGGCTTCTCTTCACCCAGCATTATTTTAATGTTTGATGGAGTAAATTGACCTATTATTAAATGTTGCAACCAACAGAGAGGTTTTAATAACCTTTTGGAGTTTTGTATTAAAAGTGTTTTTAGAGGGTTGTAATTTGTATTCATCCCAAGAAAAAAAAAAAAAAACAATGGTCACTATTCTGGGTGTCGTGTGCTGGGGTGAGTGTTACCACCACTCCGCTCCAGTCTCTATATTGCATGAGTCACAGCTGTCTCTGGGATAATGTATTTATTAGCACTGGTGTGGGTGGGGGGAGAAAGGAAAACAGGTTGTAAGATTTGCCAATCACTTGGGCTCTGCAAGTTGGATAGTTTAGCAGGCTTTTTTGAGTGTTCTGGGTCACCTAGGAGTGAAGAGCCCACAGAAGTTGTCAGGGAAGCATAAAGCCCCAGGTTGTCATCAGGATAATGAGCCGGCACCCTAGTTGGACTGGTTATCTCAGGCCTGCATCACAGGCAGAGGAAGTTTACAAGAGAGCTCAAGGTGCAGTGTCAGCATGTCCCTAGTTAGGGCCTGAGGGT